CACACACGCATGCATACACACACACATATATATATGTCTATATATATGTATATATATATTCCAAAATCTTTTCCAGTCACGATTTTCAATGTGTATAAATGTTACATTCATTGAATGTCTCTGGAACCAGGAAGAGGAGCATGTAGAAAATTAAGAAAATTAGTGCTTGACTCTCCTGGAAAATAATACTTTGTTATGAAAGAATTATTAATTTGTTTGGTCTAAGAGGAAAGATTTGAAAAGATAAAAGATGTGTCTTTTCATTTCTGTTAATTAAATTAGCCCTGAATTCTGAAGCAGTATTTCTCCACAGCATTGGTATGGGTACAACCAATGTCCCTTCAGAGCATTCTTAAGCAGTTAGCATTTGTTCCTAGGAATCAGAGCAAGCAATTTATCCTCTCTTTCTCTCTCTCTGTGTGTGTGTTACTCTCTCTTTCTGTGTTTATATGTTCATATGCATGTGTGTATGATATACTGGCCCTTTTCAGCTTGGGGATCATGTCAGCAGATGCTCTTGCCTGAGTCTAAGGGAACCAACAAATGAAAAAGTATAGGCTGAATACAGAATGTAAATATCAAAAACTATTGGAATTAATTTCATAACAAATGAAGAGTGACAGAATTTCAGAGAAAAATATATCAGATATGGATAGAAAATTAAAGTCCATAAAAAATTACAAAGATCTACACAGGAAGTGGGAAGAAATAATATATGGAACCACTTACTTCTAAAATGGGAAAATTTTAATGAGGTAAATGAATAAATGCTGCAGAAATGTTTAATAAAATACTATCTAGAAATAATTTATATAGGGGAACACTCTTAGTTGACTGCCTGATAGTATTTTCCCAGTTTGTTATTTGTAGTAGGAATCTCATTTTGAGAATGTAGGAAAAAATAAGAATCTGTGTAGAGGTATTAGAAAAGAAAAAGAATATCAGAAAAAATAAAAAGTAAGGATTTATATAAGTCACAATGAGCCAAATTTAGTAACAAATAAAAACATTCAAAATGTGACACACGGATTAACAATTTGAATTGAAAAGATCAGTAATCTTGGAAAAGTGTGATTATACATCTGTATTTTGTGGTGAATTGAAAAATTAAGATTACAAGACAGAGGGTTGAATTTGCTCAATACCGTTTGCTTAGGAAGGATGCGTGAAATTAAAGGAAGCTCATTTAATTTTTGTTTTTTATCATGTGCTTTTTAAAGATACTTTTAAAGCATTGTATAGCCAGAAAAAATTAAACTTAAATTCTGTTTCATAATTTCTGTTAGTATCCTGAGCTATCACTTTATCTCACTAAGACTGCATTTCCATATTTTCAAAAGGGATTTTGATAAATTTAACATCCTTTTCATTTCTGCTTCTGGCTGAAAAACCAGAAGCATAATCCATGATAAGTAATTTATATACTAGGTTCTTTCAACTATATCACATTGCTCTTGAATTTAATATTGCTTTTGACAATGACTAATATGAATATTATTGATTATTACAAGCTGACTCAGTTAACTCTTGAAAAAGAATGCATATCTTATAATGATAGATAATAGAACAACTGCATGATGCATCAACAATGAATCATTGCAAGAAAGACATCACTAAAAATTTAAATATTTATAGATAATAAAATGCATCAAAACTTTGTGATAAGTTAGGCAATAAAGAAGCACATTTATTTTATAACTGTCAATTATTTTAATGACCAATATATTTTTCATAAGGAGTGTTATAAAAGATTGTAAGGTGAGCAATTTTTTAAAAGCTGTTTTATTTCAATTTGTTTATTGCAGTAGTAAAATACAAATACTACACTTAAATCATAATAAAAATTCCTATGATTACTGAAGGTTGAACACCGTCATGTTAATTAGTGAAAAATATGGTTTTAAAAGACTCTAGCAAGAAATACAGTGATTATTCCTAAACACACATAAAGATATGCAGTTTTACTTATGCAATAGTATTTTGAATATTTCTGCAAATTATCCTGACTTAATTGGAGAAATGCTGAAAAACATATTCATTAAGGACATTTTGTGAGAGGCAACATAAAATGCACTTAATATTCTAGTACAGTCTTATAAAAACATTAGGAAAATTTCCATTTTATAAAGAAAGAAAATGAAACTCAATAAGATATAATCATTAACCAGTGTTTTAACATTTAAGGAGTGGTGACTACACATTATTTTCCTCTCTATCTTGCTGTTTCCGATAAAATTTAATTTATCCTCATGTTACATTTTATACAGTAACATTTTATCAAACTATAATCCTCTTTTTGAAAAAATATCATAATGGTAAAAAATATTAATCTATGAGTATGTTAAAAAACATTAATCTATGAGTATGTATTTTAGGTGAGCAAAATGAATAATTACTTTTGTAGTAATTATAGTATATTTTATAACTTTTAAAGGTAGACAACCAGGCAATAATTTGCAACGTTCTGAAATTTGAGATTTTATTATTAAAAGGGATGTCCTAAAGCAAGAGAAAACATAAAAGGTTAACCAGATAGTACATGTAGGAATAACCTTCCACTATGATTGTTACTTTTAATTCATTTAGTAGTTTAATGAGTTATTTAGTTAGCTTTATAACAAGTACACTACAAGGTGATATTAGTCTGAACATACTGGCTGACTTATGAAAATAGTCATTGTCCCTTTTTGCTTTAATATTTCCGTGAAGTTACCACTCCTGTGAGGTAGGAACTCACTTCTATCTAACTATGTACAGAAATTAGTTTCTGCAAATGAACTCATATCTTCTACATTCATGAACCTCTTATTCCAAAGTCAAATTCATATAATGAAATAACTTCATAAAACAGCTGTCCAAAGCTGGAAAACATATGGACACCACTCAAATGTCATTTTCTGTTTAACATGGTTAAGTGTACAACATGACATTATAGGTTTTTAAACTAGTGTAATTTCAGGATATCATAGAAATTCCCCCTGCTCCCAAAATAACTCCTTCTTTCACACAGTTCTACATATTGATTGATACGAGTGGGTTTTAGAGTAGAAACAATTTTCAAGTGTATTTGAATAAAAGCAAACTCTATACTATTAGTAATTAACACACCTTTCAAATGGTGCATGAAGCTTGGGCATATCTGGCTCATTCAGATGTACAAAAGCATTATAAAATATGAAGTTGTTGGTAGCTCAGACATGGAGGTGAGAAGCTTAGCAGGAGACTCAAGAGAATTCTCACATGCCAAGGCTCTGGTAAGCAACTCATATAAAAAAGTCTCCACCTAAAAATGACATGCCTACATTTCTTAAGAAAAAGAATAAATATAACTTTGCCTCCCTACCACAAGACAGATTGAATTTGTCTAAAATGTGAAGCCATTTCTCGATGCGAGAGACAAATTGCTAAAGCACCAAGATCAATTCCATATGCAAGGAGATACATCTATGCCTGCTTCCAATCTGAAAACTATGGCTAGGCGGGGGTTCTGTTGTTAGGTGCTGGCCATGTTAGCAGAAGCCTATTAACAGTTTTTAAAAGACAGATTTATCAAGACACATATATTATCATCAATATGGATTTGACTAATGAGGATATACAAATTCCTAAACGGATGCTATTAATGTGACAATAAAGTACAGAGCAGTTGCTTCAAACGGACAAAAGATATTCAGAGGAAACTGTTCATCTTAGAATCTCACAAGTGGGTATACCTGCGTACTTCTGATTTGGCTAATCAAGCAGCTCATGTAACTGCTTATTCTAACTCTTCTAATTCAAAACTGCCTATTCGAATTCAAAAGTTATTTGCTATTCCTGAATTAATGCAATCACCTTCTCTATATATGGTAATGAAACCATCATAAAGCAGACTGCCAAGGGAGCTGTTGCATCTGGTGTCAGACAATCCAAAAAAAATGTTCTCAGTTTAGGGGTTTTCTATGGTAAAATAGAGGATAATCCTAATGAAATGTTTTGGAAATGGATAACATATTTTAATTTTTTAAATTTATATCCGCAATTCTTAACTTCCCATTGACTTGATCAGTGAAAACAACATTGCTATTCTCCTTGACTTTTCTCTTTTAGATAAGATATCAATTAATTGATTTCCTGAAAGTTCAGAGAATATTAATCTCCTTCTGTGTGTTGTACATTTCCAAATTATTAAGGTGGCAGGGTAAACTAGGCTAGACCATTAAGTCCCCATTTGTTTCAAGTGAGCAGTCCATATTTTTAATAACCTCCACACTGCCTGGATATCATTTTACGAATATATCATCCATTAATGAATCAGTTATAAAACATTTACAGAACATAAAATACATTCTAAATTCTAGTCTGAGTATATAGCATACAACGTTGGCTCTTATAGAACATGCGAGTATCTCCATTAATGTGGCTTATAATATAATTTCTTCACATGTGTCTTCATCTAACACAGATATTACACTATGAAAAAACTAGTAACTAAGAAGTTACTTCCTGTGTACAACAACCATTGGATTACTTGTTAAGATTAAACAACTAGAATGCAATTTGATATTTTTAGGGAAAAAACTTAAGTGTCCCCTTCAGTAATATATCCTGTTATGAGTGAATGAAAGAAAGCTGAAATCAATCAGAAGCATTATCAGTGGTCCGAGTTCAAATGTCCTATTTTTATTTAACCACGTTTGGCTATATTTATGCTAGTATATCAAAATAAGAATGATTGCTAACTAATTACAAAATATATTTATAATAAAATGAAGACAATGAAACAATATATATTTTCAGTATATATTTATTGTACCACATTATACATCACATTTCACATTTTAATCATATCATTGCCAATTAAAGGATTCCTGGAAAAATAGATACTAGGATTTAAAGGTTTTTGTTTTTATCACTACACATCTGTTTGTGTTAATATAATTTTAAGCTATTTGAGTTGTTTCTATAATTTATTAATATTAATAAGAAGTGATGTTTACTGAATCTAGCAGTACATAGAATATTGTATTATAAATGTTATATTAATTCATAAATCACAAATATCTGAATCCCAGGAATCACAAAGGTTCTCTATGTATGAGAAAGAGAGAGAAAAATGAAAAAGGAAGAGGAGGGGAAGGAGGAGAAGAAGGGGAAGGATGAAGAGACCTGGAATAAGGTGAATGCTATATTATCAACTTTCAAGGTTTTTGTACCAAAAAATTATTTGACATTCATTAGATACATTTATTATATGCTTGGCATTACTTCAGTATGGCAAATCATTCTTATCACAGTTCTAAGAGGAAACAAATACAGTAAAATAAAAGAATTTTATGAATTAAATCAATTTTTAAAAAATGCTCAGGGGTGGATTAAAGACTTAAACATAAGACCTAACACCATAAACCCTAGAAGAAAACCTAGGCAAAACCATTCAGAACATAGGCATAGGCAAGGACTTAATGACTAAAACACCAAAAGCATTGATAAGAAAAGCCAAAATAGACAAATGAGATCTAATCAAACTCCAGAGCTTCTGCACAGCAAAAGAATCATTAGAGTGAATCGGCAACCAACAGAATGGAAAAAAAAATTTGCAATCTACCCATCTGACAAAGAGCTAATATCTAGAATCTACAAAGAACTAAAACAGATTTACAAGAAAAAATCAAACAAGTCCATTCAAACGTGGGCAAAGCATATGAACAGACACTTTACAAAAGAAGACATATATGAGGCTAACAAACATATGAAAAAACGCTCATCATTAGAGCATTAGAGAAATGCAAATCAAAACTACATTGAGATACCATCTCACCCCAGTTAGAATGGCGATCATTAAAAAATCTGGAGACAACAGATGCTGGAGAAGATGTGGAAAAATAGGAACACTTTTTTCCCACTGCTAGTGGGAGTGTACATTAGTTCAACCATTGTGGAAGACAGTGTGGCGATTCCTCAAGGACCTAGAAATAGAAATTCCATTTGACCCAGCAATCCCATTACTGGGTATATATCCAAAGTACTATAAATTATTCTACTATAAGGACACATTCATTGCAGCACTGTTTACAATAGCAAAGACCTGGAATCAACCCAAATGCCCATCGATGATAGACTGGACAGAAAAAATGTGGCACATATACACCATGGAATATTTTGCAGCAATCAAAAACGATGAGTTTGTGTTCTTTGTAGGGACATGGATGAACCTGGAGAACATCATCCTCAGCAAACTGACACAAGAATAGAAAATGAAATACTGCATGTTCTCACTCATAGGTGGGTGTTGAACAATGAGAACACATGGACACAGGGAGGGGAGCATCACACACTGGGGTCTGTCAGGGGGAAGTAGGGGAGGGACAGCCAGAGGTGGGGAGTTGGGGAGGGATTACATGGGGAAAATGCCAGATATAGGTGATGGGGAAGAAGGCAGCAAACCACATTGCCATGTATGTACCTATGCAACAATCTTGCATATTCTTCACATATACCCCAAAACCTAAAATGCAATTAAAAAAAAAATATATATATATACACATACATACATACATATAATTCTCATGGTATAGGAAAACCACTGGGAATGTTCAGTACCATTGAACTGGAAAGAATTGGAGAACCTAAGCAAACTGAGAGAGAAACTGATTATAAGACATGGGAAATAAATGGTAGTTCTACTTTTAGTTCTTTAAGGAATCTCTACACTGTTTTCTATAGCAGCCCTATAAGTTTACATTCCCACCACTAGTGTAGAAGTGTTCCCCAATCGTTGCATCCAACATCTACTTTCTTTTGATTCTTTAATTATGGCCATTTTTTAGAAGGTGGTATCATATTGTGGTTTTGATTTGCATTTCCCTCACCATTAGTGATGTTGAGTATTTTTTTCATACGTGTGTTGGCCCTTTGAATATCTTCTTTTGAGAATTGTCAATTAGTGTCCTTAGCCTATTTTTGATAGGACTGATTGCTTTTTTCTTACTGATTTGTTCGAGTTCCTTATAGATTCTGGATATTAGTCCTTTGTCAGATATATAGATAATAAAGATTTTCTCCCACCTGATATGTTGTCTATTTACCCTCCTGACTGTTCCTTTTGCTGTGCAAAAGCTCTGTGGTTTAATTAGGTCCCAGCTATTTATTTGTTTTTATTGGAATTGCTTTTGGGTTTTGGGTCATAAAATCCTTGCATAAGCCAATGTCTAGAAGGGTTTTCCTGATGTTATCTTCTAGAATTTTTATAATTTCAGATCTTAGGTTTATTTCCTTAATCCATCTTGAATTGATTTTTGTATAAGTTGAGAGATAATTATCCTACATGTGGCTAGCCAATTATCCCAGTACCATTTGTTGAAAAGGGTGTCCTTTCCGCACTTCCTTTTTTTTGCTTTGTCAGAGATCATCCCACAACTGGGTATCTACCCAGAGGAAAAGAAGCCATTATTCAAAAAAGATATTTGCACATACATGTTTATAGCAGCACAATTCACAATAGCAAAATTGTGGAACCAACTCAAATGTCCATCAATCAATGAGTGGATAAACTGTGGTATACGTATATGAGGGAATACTACTCAGCCATAAAAAGGAATTAATTAACAGCATTTGCAATAACCTGGATGAGATTAAAGACTATTATTCTAAGTGAAGTAACTCAGGAATGGAAAGCCAAACATTGTATGTTCTCACTGATATGTGAGAGCTAAGCAAAGGCATAAGAATGACACAAGGGACTTTGGGTACTTAGGGGGGGAAGAATGAGGGGTGGCAGGGATAAAAGACTACAAATATGGTGCAGTGTGTATATTGCTCAATGACGGGTGCACCAAGTTCTTACAAATCACCACTAAAGAAATTACTCATGTAACCAAATACCACCTGTACCCCAATCACCAATAACTTATGAAAAAATAAAATAATAATAAAAAGACACTGGAACAAAAGTACCTTAAAGAAACTGTGACATTTGGCTGATGTGTGAAATTGATGGTGTCCTCACAGGGAGTTAACTGAAGGAATAAATGACATCACTTACCTGTCTTTCCCCTTTCTATTGTTTACCTCTGGCTGAACCCCAACTATTTAGAATCCCAAAGGCAAAGGACCCATTAATATAGTCCATTAGAGTCAGGCTACCAGGGCATAGAGCAGGGCAGTGGAGGATAAAGAGTACCTCTGAAGAGGGAAACACTTGATATTTACCCATAGGAGAAACTAAAGAATACTCCTATATGTTAAAAAAGGTTTTCTTTTGTTAACCTGTGGAACTTAGAGAGCTATGTTTTTTTTTAAAAGAAAAAGAAAGAAAGAAAGAAAATAAAAGAAGAGAGAAAGAGAGTAGAAAAGAAAAAAGAATGAAAGGGAGAAAGAAAGAGGAAGAGAAAGAGGGAGAGAGAACTGGAATCTTGCTCTATTGCCCAGGCTAGAATGCAGTCTAAAAATAGGTATTAAAAACCTCTTTTATGCCAATAATTGTGCTTAACAATGGAGACAGATAGGAATAAGGGAGGAAAACAAAAAACAAGCAGTCAACCAATATTTCATTTAAACCTGTGAAATGCTATGCAATTGCTGATGAGTGATTTACTTCCAATTATGTGGTCACTTTTAGAATAGGTGTGATGTGATTCTGAGAAGAATGTATGTTTTGTGGATTTGGGGTGGAGAGTCCTGTAAATGTTTATTAAGTTTACTTGTTCCAGGTCTGAGTTCAAGTCCTGGATATCCTTGTAAGTCTCTTATTAAGTCATTAAAAACTTGCCTTATGTATCTGGCTGCTCCTGTATTGGGTGCATATATATTTAGGATCATTAGCTCTTCCTGTTGCATTGATCCTTTTACCATTATGTAATGTCCTTCTTTGTCTCTTTTGGTCTTTGTTGCTTTAAAGTCTATTTTGTCAGAGATAAGAATTGCAACTTCTGCTTTTTTTTTCTCTCTCTCCATTTGGTTGGTAAATCTTCCTCTTTCCCTTTGTTTTGAGTCTTTTTGTATCCTTACATGTGAGATGGGCCTGGATGCAGCATACCAATAGGTTTTGGCTTTTTATCCAATTTGCCTGTCTGCGTCTTTTGATTGGGGCATTTAGTCCATTTAAATTTAGGATTAATATTGATATATGTGAGTTTAATACTGGCATTTAATGCTAGCTGGCTGTTTTGCCCATTAATTGATGTAGATTCTTTATTACGATGATGCTCTTGATCTTTTGGTATGCTTTTGGAATGGCTGATACTGGTTGTTCCTTTCTATGTGTAATGCTTCTTTCAAAAGCTCTTGTAAAGCAGGCCTGGTGGTGATGAAGTCTCTGAGTATTTGCCTGTTCACAAAAGATTTTATTTTTCCTTCACTTATGAAGCTTAGTTTGGCTGGTTATGAAATTCTGGGTTGAGAATTCTTTTCTTTAAGGATGTTGAATATTGGCCCCCATTCTCTTCTGGCTTGTAGGGTTTCTGCTGAGAGATCTGCTGTGAGTCTGATAGGCTTCCCTTTGTAGGTAACCTGACCTTTCTCTCTGGCTGCCCTTAGTATTTTCTCCTTCATTTCAACCCTGGTAAATCTAACGATTATGTGCCTTGGGGTTGCTCTTCTTGAGAAATATCTTTGTGGTGTTCTCTGTATTACCTAGAGTTGAGAATTGTCCTGTCTTGCTAGGTTGGGAAAGTTTTCTTGGATAATATCCTAAACAACATTTTCCAGCTTGGATTCATTCTCTTCATGACATTCAGGTACACCTATCAAACGTAGATTAGGTCTTTTCACATAGTCCCATATTTCTTGGAGATTTTCCTCATTCCTTTTTACCCTTTTTTCTCTAATATTGTCTTCTCATTTTATTTCATTGAGTTGGTATTCAACCTCTGATATATCCTTTCTTCTGCTTGATCAATTCGACTGTTAAAACTTGTGTATACTTTGCAGAGTTCTCGTATTGTGTTTTTCAGGTCCATTAATTCACTCATATTCCTACTCTCAGTAGCATTTTGTCAAACCTTTTTTCAAGGTTCTTAGTTTCTTTGCATTGGGTTAGAACATGTTCTTTTAGCTCACAGAAGTTTCTTATCCACCTTCTGAAGCCAGATTCTATCAATTTGTCACACTCATTCTCCATCAGGCCTTGTTTCTTGCTGATGAGGAGCTACAATTCCCTGTAGGAGGAGAGGCATTCTGATTTTGGGTGTTTTTCAGCCTTTTTGCACTGGTTTCTTCCCATCTTTGTGGATTTATCCACCTGTTGTCTTTGTAATTGCTGACTTTCAGATTGGGTTTCTGAGTGGATGTCCAGTTTGTTGGTGATGAAGTTTTTTCTGTTTCTTAGTTTTCCTTATGTGGATGCCACTCCCCCACAAAGCTGGACCTTCCCAGGTTCAGCTGTGCTTGCTTTAAGACTCTCAATCCTCAGCATTTCCAATTGCTGTTTTTTAGTGGTGGTGGGACCAGCTGAGCCTGATCACCTGGCTCCCTGTCTCAGAGCCTTTTTTTTCTTTAATTGAATGGCCGATTCTCTCCCAGTTGTTCCAGTCACCTGTTGAAAGTGTTCTGGAATCTGTGTAACTTCCCTTGCTGCAACCCACTGCGCCAGCTGAAACAGCGATGTTGAGATTTGTGGCACTTTTTTGCCTGGGAATCTCCTGGTCTGGCTCCCTGTTTCAGTCCCCTTTTCAATCAGCTGAATGGGTAACTCTGCCTTCCTGGAGCTCCAAAGACCAACTAAAAGGGCACCCAGTCCCATATACTCCACACTGAGAACCACCACACTGGAGCGCTGGCAAAACAGCTGCACTGGCCAAAAGAGTCACGCTGGTGACCCGTGGGGCTCCTCCGCTGGGAATCTCCTGGTCTATGGGCAACAAAAATTCATCTGGGAGTGTGGCATCCACTCACTCTCTGTGCTTTCACTGGGAGCTGCAATCCTGAGCTGCTGCTAATCAGCCATCTTGGATCTCTCCGGAAAATCGAGAGCTATGTTTTTAATTATTCACAGTTACATCCACTGAACTTATAGCATAGTGCCTAGTAAATTGTAGCAATACAATGCATATTTTAATATAAATGTATGTATGAATAAGGAAGCATTGACAGCAATTGTTAAATTATTTAAAAGTGGAATAAAGAGTAGTCTTGTTTTGCCTTGCTCCAGAGAACTAGAATTATGACCAGAGGATTACACATAAAAGGAGGCTAAACCAATGGAATACATTGTTTTAAAAAAACTAGAAATTGTCTCCTAAATAATAAAATGCCATATTATTGCTGAGCTTTGTGCCAATGGACTCATTCAAGTAGAGATACGGTTTTCTAGAAAGGACTGAGTAGAATGAATACAGGCACTGAATAGGTGCTTGGAATGGCTGAACACTAATATCTCTACCACTTCTAAGATCCTTCAATTATGGCACTCACAGGAGAAATTTATTTCAGTCATAGTATCAGGAGAGCTGTGCTTTTTCTTGAGGAACTGTTTGTTGTTAGCCCCTAAGGATATTCTAAATCTCTTCAAGAATCTTTGCTTTGACAGTTAGACATTTTAGACTCAAATTTGTTGTCCATTTTAGCAAATGTGTAGAATGTTTTATAACTGTAGGATTTACATAATAACACTACCTCTGGCTTTATCTTATTATTTTATGTGCATCGAATATCTAATCTATCTTTAAATCTTATTAGTTATTTTCTGATGTATTTATATGCCTCTTGGGGAAAGGCAGGATATAAACTAAGTCCATAATTCTGTAATTCTGTTATTTAAAAATTCTTAGTAAATTCAAAGAGAAAAACATATGTGGCTGAAAATGTATTTACGTTCTCTTACAAAATGCATATTACAGGGATGTGTTGTGGCCGTAAAATTTCACCTCACCCCTTCACCCTTTAGGAGGTAGATTTCTAATTTTCTCAAAAGGGGCTGATGAAAGTTTATCTTATAAAATAAAATTTCTATAAAAAATCATTTTAATTTCTCTCCTTAAGTTTAAAATTATAAAAAAAATATTTCTGGTATTTGAGATGACCTTAGTATGGATATGAATACAGGAAAATATCAGTACATTCCTAGGAGTGATTAATTCACATAGATGACCAGGTTCAATGCCAGAACTGAATCCACTGCAGCGTCAGGGTTGTGTTCATGTCATGTGGATGCAGTGGGAAATCTCTCTGCAATCAACAACTTTAGAACCAGAAGCATGCACTGAAATTAAAGACTGGGTGTGAGTGAAAAAAACAAATACATAAGAAAAAGATTTGGACAGAAAGATAAAATGGTGTGGGTTAAACAAGTCTATACATAAGAGAGTGTTCCCTTGCTCTACCTGGACCTCATTCCAACTTACAGACACAGAAATCAGAGGACCTTCATCATGAGAGAAAAAGAGCCACTGCCACTTTCAAGGGGAAACTTTTTGGCAGCAAATACCAATTTATTTCTCTGTTTGATGCTTATAACTAGGATAGACCTTGCCAATAATGTTTTGGGAGTAATTATTATTAATGAAAATATTTGTATGCGTATGTGTCTGTGTTGCTAGTTGAAACAGGATATATTGATTGTAGAAGAGGAAAGGTGTTTTTCCTTACCCATTGCAATGTTCATGGTTGAGGCTCCTATAAAAGAAGACAAATTAAGATGAGAAAAGCATACAAATGCATTTAACATAAGCTTTGTATGACACTGGAGCTTTCATAAGAAAATAAAGACTCAAAGAAACAGGAAAATTTGTCTAATTTTATGCCTAGGTTTGATGAAGAATGGACAGTCATGTAGAAGTATGAGTGGACAAAGGATATGATATGATATGATATGATAACACACTAATGGTAGTTAGGAAGTCCTGTTCATTCAGATTTTTCTGTGTACTTGTGTTTGCAGGGATCAGGATATGGCTTTCCTCTGGGTATGGGGAGTGCACTTTCGAGGGAGGGTGTTGAAACTGCTATGCTGTCTGGGGTATATACCCTGGGGTTTGTTGTCCCATGCCAAGAAATAATTCAGGACATGGACAAATATGGGTGGGTTAAGGAGTGGAAAGTTTAATAGAACAAAGGAGAGAGGAAAGCAGCTCCTTGCAAGAGAGAGATGTTCAGAAAAGTTGGAGGCAGCAGATTGCAGCAGATTTTATAGGCAGGCTGGAGAAGGCAGTGTCTGATTTACATAGGGCTCACAGATTGGTTCAATCAGGTATGAGATCTACATAGTGCATGGAAAAGCCTGGTCACCCACCCTAATCTTATTATGCAAGGGGCTTTCCAATTGACCAGTGCCATCTTGGCTGCTTCTTACTCTACACATGGCTGACAAAGAGATGGAAAGGTAAAGCTCCCATATTGAACATGATTGGTTGAACATGACTGGTTGAACATGATTGGCACAACTGCCTTTATCAATGTCTGCAGCTCAATTTGATAGGCTGCTCTTTGTTAGAAAGAAAAATAATTTGGAACTGCATTTTATTAAAAAGAAAAGCATTATGAAGGATTCCAATGGCCTTGCTGTTTGCCTAATTAATTCCTTCTTCATTCTTATATCATTGTTATGATCCATTTCAAAGAAGGATGGGAAAGTCAGAGAATGACCTTCAAGCATTTTATTATCTGCTTCAGGAGAGAAAGGATGAGCAGAAGGTGAGAGCCACCTTCTTGCTTCTGTGGTTTTCTCCCATGCCAGTGTGCCATATTTTGGGGTAGTGAGTCCTGAACTCCATCACCAATTAAACTAAATTTAGCATGTGTATTGTGTATTTAATTTCTATCAAGGAAAACAATTTTCATTTGTATTGGCATTGTTTGATGCACAAAAAAACCAAGTGAAATAAAACAAAATACTTTTATCTAATTCAACAATCAATTTTAGTGTGTTTATGTGATCTAAAGATGTTATTTAGTATTAAATAAAATTAGTTGTGATCTAAACCTAGATTTTGCCCAATAGTTTTCAGACTAAAAATAATGGGACTTCCAATGATGACTTACTTTACACCAATAAATAATATTACTAGAGTTAACTAATACTATATTATACAATAGTGTAAGATAAACATCATATTCCTTCTGTGGACAAATATACATTTCTATAAATAAAGAAACATAAATATAAAAATATTCTCTTGAAAATATGTATAACTAAAACAGAGGCTAAACTATTACCTATTTAGTTGAAGTCTTTAATTTTTAAGAATTTCTGTTCCATTGAATGTGGGTGCTGAAAACTTTGTAAATATCTATGTTGTAATCTCATTTTATTCAGTAAATTGCTGTTTTAATACAAAATATTTGTGCAAAACCTTTTGCAAATTCCATTTTGAAAAATGGAAACTTTTTTTATATTTCTACATTATTTTACTAATTCACAGTTTGACTGTCTTTGAAGATAATTTAGGGTATTAATTTCAGCTGGAAGATTTGCCAGAGACACTTTACACCCAAAAACCAAAGATTTACCTGTACTTAGCCATCACATTATTCAAATGGATTTTCTTTCTCCCTTCCCCTCCACACCCTTCCCTCCTCTCCCCTTCCTTTCTCTTTTTTCTTTTTTTATAGTCTTACTCTGTTTCCCAGGCTGGAGTGCAATGTCACAAATAGAGCTCACTGTAGACTCGGTTTCCTTCTGCCTAAGCCTTTTGGAAAGCTGGAACTACAGGCACATGCCACCATGCCTGGCTAATTTTTTGAATTTTTGTTGAGACAAAGTCTCACTTTGTTATCCAGGCTGCTCTCCTGGGATCAAGCAATGCCCCCACTTTAGCCTCCCAAAGTGCTGGGATTACAGGTGTGAGCCACCATGCCTGGCCTGAATGTATATTCAAAAGGAGAGCACATGGCCAAAACTTTGAAACTCACATAGCAGTTTGTTGCTATACCACCCTGAATGTGCCTGATGTTGTCTGATCTCAGAAGCTAAGCAGGGTTGCTCCTGGTTAGTACTTGGAGGGGAGACCACCTGAAAATACTGTGTGCTATAGTCTTCGTAAAAAAAATAAAAAAAAAAATATTAAAATAAATTAAAAAAGAAACTCACATAGTATAAATTTGAAATTAAAATCATAATTTTAATACATAACAGAACTTTGAGAAAATGTAAATGGCTTGGTCAAAATTATTGCATAATTGGCACCAAATGCCTAGATAATTATAGTCAAAATTTCTTTAGTATTTGTCTATCTACAACAGTCCGAATAGCTAGCTCTTTATAGAACATAAAAATTTTGTAGACATCATCTTAGAATACAGAAAATATAATTTTGTATTTATTAAAATTTTAGTCATACTTTATATCTCCCTCCATCTATGAAATAAATAAAAATATAAATATTGTAGTTGAGGGAACCCAAGCTTAAACAATTTGCCAATTCACCAGTCACCAAGAAAAAACTCTTTGGGCACCAATCATCTAGCAAAATGTTGATAATAAATGAATGTGTGTTCAGCTGAATAGTGATAACTTGTTATAACTATGTTGAATTGGTGATACATAAAATCTGGTTTTACTATAATCTAACATAAATTGAACCTCCAGCCTACTGCCCTTTCAGTCAAATAATAAAAGGGGAAGGCAGAAAATTAAATGCATATGCATTCACACACACACACACACATACAATAGACCCACAGGTGATTCACTTATATACAGTACTGGGGTAGAGCTCATTAAAGTGGTCTCACGTAACTAAATGTAGTACAAGAAAGACTATCTAATTGCAAATTCATTATTCTTAGATGTGAATATTTTCAGAAATACAAGATAGGTTAATTTAGGAGAAAAAATGAAGAGGGGAGGGAGAAGGATGATTGATTTGGCTGAGCATTTGCTCTTATTCTGATTTACTATTAGCCAAGAAACTTTGGTCTGTCCGACAGCTTTCACTTTTAGCATGCGATGTGAACAGTGTGAACAGCATACTACTACTACTTCTTCTTCTTCTTCTTTTCTTCTTCTTTTTTTTTTTTTTGAGACAGAGCCTTGCTCTTGTGGCTCAGGCTGGAGTGCAATGGGACGACCTCAACTCACTGACATCTCTGCCTAAGGTTCAAGCAATTATCTTGCCTCAGCCTCCTGAGTAGCTGGGACTACAGGCACCTGCAACCACACCTGGCTAATTTTTGTATTTTTAGTAGCAATGGGGTTTCACCATGTTAACCAGGCTGGTCTTGAACTCCTGACCTCATGATCCACCCGCCTTGGCCTCCCAAAGTGCTGAAATTACAAGCGTGAGCCACTGCTCCCGGCCTGTGAACAGCATACTTCTTTATGCAGATCACCTCAAATTGCATGGGATTGAATTTTAGAATTTATGTCCATTAGAATTTTTCAACATGAGATATTAAAAATAATGTGTTTAAAAAATGTTTTTTAATTCAAAATAAATTTTAAAAGTTAGTTTATGAAATTTGATAAAAGTTTCCTTTAAAACTACTTTTTCCCCTTTAAATATTACCAATTTATATTCAAGCCAAATTTCATTTTAATATTTTGAGTTTTAAATTAATAACATATTATTAATTAAAAGATCATTTATCAAAAGGTAAATCGTATCTTTTTGGTATCAATTCACAGTTTACTCACTAAGTCTCACCCAGTGAGTCTCCTCTTTCATCAACGGTCTTAACAATTTTGACCCTGAGGTAATTAATTCAAAGTCTCCAGAAATGAAAGAAAGAACAAACTAGGTTCAGCCACCTCATTTTCCATTGACGGTAAAAGAACTTTCCTAATGCAAGGTTTTAATTACAACAAAACTGGGTTGCTGCATTATCTTCCAATAACTTAAACATACTAAATATGCAATACATTTCCTGAAAAAAATATATTCAAGTAACATTTACCTCTAAGTATGTTTCATTTTATAAGAACAGATTGATTAGTATTCTGATATCTTTTCATCCAGTTAAATGTTTAAAAATTAGGGACCATGACTTATCAATCAATACATCTTTTAAGTCACTGTCACAGCCTGAAGTTTTTATTTCCAGTTTCTCAGCTGAAGGAATAGAGTTCATCAGTGCATTTAATTGGAATTTAGATGTCCTAACATTTTGTTTCCCATTAGCGTGGTTTGAATTTCTGACAAATGGTCTGCTGTATTAAAGTAATCATTGATACAGGAAGTGGTGGTTTAAGAAAAAGATACTAGGAAAGTGAAGAATTTCAAATTACTATGAGACCTACTTACATTTGAGATACCTATCCATGCCTTTGAAATGTTTAAAATCACTAGCCCTACAAGAGGTACTATGCACCAATGAGAACAGTTTAGGAAGATTACTTTAGAAACTGCTTGCATTTCTTATTGAAGCAAAGTTAAATCCATGTGTTCATTACTGTCAAAGAGAGAAAATATGCAAAACTTTTTAATACTGTCTAGTGTAAATACTAAAGATTAATTTGTTTCATTGCTTAAAGCAAGTCTTAATTCATCAATTTGCTAAAAGTAAAATTACTAAAATTACCCTAAGAACTTGTGGTGAAAACAGAAACCGCTTTCTTTTAGTCATATGACACACACACACACACACACACACACACACACACACATAAACACATACATATATTTCTATATTCAGGCAGTTTTAAAAGACAGGATGGTCTGATCTGTTTGTTAAAGGCA